AATGTGTTTGTATATTGTTATATATATATATATTGTGTATATATATATATTGTTATATATATATATTGTGTCTGTAATATGTGTTTGTATATTGTTATATATATATATAATGTGTTATATATATATATATTGTGTCTATATATATATGTGTTTGTATATTGTTATATATATATATTGTGTCTGTAGTCATGTGTTTGTATATTGTTATATATATATTGTGTCTGTAATGTGTTTTTATATTGTTATATATATATTGTGTCTGTAATAATGTGTTTGTATATTGTTATATATATATATATGTGTCTGTAATAATGTGTTTGTATATTGTTATATATATATATTGTGTCTGTATATTGTTATATATATGTTTGTATATGTGTTATATATATATTGTGTCTGTAATGATATGTTTGTATATTGTTATATATATATTGTGTCTGTAATGTGTTTGTATATGTTTATATATATATTGTTATATATATATATATGTGTCTGTAGTCATGTGTTTGTATATTGTTATATATATATATGTGTCTGTAGTCATGTGTTTGTATATATATATATTGTTATATATATATATTGTGGCTATAATGATGTGTTTGTATATTGTTATATATATATATTGTGTCTGTAGTCATGTGTTTGTATATTGTTATATATATATATTGTGTCTGTAGTCATGTGTTTGTATATTGTTATATATATATTGTGTCTGTATGTGTTTGTATGTATATATATTGTTTGTATATGTGTTATATATATATATATTGTGTCTGTAATATGTGTGTATATTGTTATATGTATATTGTTATATATATATATATATATTGTGTCTGTAATATATGTGTTTGTATATTGTTATATATATATATATATATATATATATTGTGTCTGTAATAATGTGTTTGTATATTGTTATATATATATATATTGTGTCTGTAATAATGTGTTTGTATATTGTTATATATATATTGTGTCTGTAATAATGTGTTTGTATATTGTTATATATATATATATATGTGTCTGTAGTCATATGTGTTGTATATTGTTATATATATATATATGTGTCTGTAATAATGTGTTTGTATATTGTTATATATATATATATATTGTGTCTGTAATAATGTGTTTGTATATTGTTATATATATATTGTGTCTGTAGTAATGTGTTTGTATATTGTTATATATATATATGTGTCAGTAATGTGTTTGTATATTGTATATATATATATTGTGTCTGTAATAATGTGTTTTTATATTGTTATATATATATATTGTGTCTGTAGTCATGTGTTTGTATATTGTTATATATATATTGTGTCAGTAATGTGTTTGTATATTGTTATATATGTATTGTGTCTGTAATAATGTGTTTGTATATTGTTATATATATATATATTGTGTCTGTAATAATGTGTTTGTATATTGTTATATATATATATTGTGTCTGTAATAATGTGTTTGTATATTGTTATATATATATATTGTGTCTGTAATAATGTGTTTGTATATATATATATATTGTGTCTGTAGTCATGTGTTATATATATATATATTGTGTCTGTAGTCATGTGTTTGTATATTGTTATATATATATATTGTGTCTGTAATGTGTTTGTATATTGTTATATATATATATTGTGTCTGTATATTGTTATATATATATTGTGTCATGTGTTTGTATATTGTTATATATATATATTGTGTCTGTAATAATGTGTTTGTATATTGTTATATATATATATTGTGTCTGTAATAATGTGTTTGTATATTGTTATATATATATATTGTGTCTGTAGTCATGTGTTTGTATATTGTTATATATATATTGTGTCTGTAGTCATGTGTTTGTATATTGTTATATATATATTGTGTCTGTAGTCATGTGTTTGTATATTGTTATATATATATATTGTGTCTGTAATAATGTGTTTGTATATTGTTATATATAAGTATTGTGTCTGTAATAATGTGTTTGTATATTGTTATATATAAGTATTGTGTCTGTAATAATGTGTTTGTATATTGTTATATATATATATTGTGTCAGTAATAATGTGTTTGTATATTGTTATATATATATATATATTGTGTCTGTAGTCATGTGTTTGTATATTGCTATATATATATATTGTGTCTGTAATAATGTGTTTGTATATTGTTATATATATATTGTGTCTGTAGTCATGTGTTTGTATATTGTTATATATATATTGTGTCTGTAGTCATGTGTTTGTATATTGTTATGTATTATGTTGTTACTTTCCTGTATCTGATGAGTCAGTCGACTTTATGTAATAAAGAACTTGAAGTTGGGTCACGATTTTGACTAGAATACTACAGATATGGACGATAAGATGTGCAGTGAAAAATGTCTATCATCAACATCAAAGACAGATTGGCCGTATGTATAAACTATTTCACCTCGCCTAATACCAGTTCTGACGTAAATGTGCATGAATTAATATCTGAGTTCAAATCATTTCGGTCTTTTGTACATATTTGAAAACGCCCTTTTTGGTTATTTACACATAGTGTATCTCATATACTGAAGACACTTATCTTATATTCTGGAAACAACCACTGACCTACTGCGCCACTAAGTACAATTAACGTTATAAACATGGTTTAGGGCTACCTCTACGTGTCGCCCTAGATGCCAAGATAACTGACTTTAATTGGGATCAGAATTCAAAACAAATGTTGGACCCAAATCCGGAAAGTTTGTTTAACCTCGGTTATTGTTAATGGTTTTGTACCGTGGAAACAATGACATATCTGGACTCTGAATTTGCCGTGCCCAACCGTTAGATACTATCTCCACATGACCATTGTGATTTGAACTTAAATCTTGAATCTGAACGTGACATTTAAAAACATCAAACCAGTAAGTTACTAATGACGCATTTTGATTTAGAATACATGTAATCATCAAACTCAGGGTCGGCGTAAACTACACCAATCCGTTGTCAAATTGGACAAATTCCAGACCATGGGGCAGCGAAAAATATATTTGTGTTATGATTTAAGCATGATTTTGTGAAGATAATATCTTAATTATAGAGATCAATCAAGTACAATCAACATAAAATCCATGTTTTGAGGTGGTGTTAGAATTCACGTTAAAATAAATCCACAAAACCTGAAGTGAATCGAATCTCCTAGAAGAAATTTTGTATGGATTAATACAGAGTAGAACACGGTTTTCTTGTTTAGTTGTACGTTATAGGTCTATGCTGTAAAAACGATGTTTCTAATTTCAGTTGATGTTCATAAAACGACTAAAAAAATCAATTAAGTGATTCTTCTGACGACACATCTCTGTCATTTAAGCGGTCCCCTAACAATTAATTTTGTCATTTTGTCCTCATTATGGCACGCAAAACACCACGATATCCTTAATTTACCCGCAAATATTTGCCCTTTATTACGTCAAGAGCTAGAGGTCGTATGTTGTTAACAATTTAAAACCATAGTTCCACTTCTGTGACACACGGATAAGGCGAGGTAACCGTGTGATGAACGAGACAGTAAGGATACATCTATTTTTATACTATATGTGTGTACCTTTAATCACCTGTGGTTAAACGATCTGACGGTTTAATGTCAAAACAACTGTATACCTCAGAAAAGAAATTGTTATCAAATAGCATATGTCACGATTTCGTTATTATTTACAGTATATATATATGTAGTGTGGCTAAATTTACATATATATTATTCTTTTCAAAACAAAGTTGACCTACCTCTGTGTAGTAATACCTAAAAAGAAAACACGACGTCTGGCGGTACAGGTCCTCGTGAACTGGTGGTGGAGGAAAAGAAATAAATGAAGGAAAATGGATAGAAAAATGAACATTTTCAAAAACGTCGGCTGCTTTGACCAAGAAAAACTTGTCGAATACTGAAATTGTTTCTATTTAATAAACTAAAATAACAGGACGTCTCCAACAAGTGTCTCCATTTTACCCAGATTTTTCTTTCAATGAATGCCAATTTAACTTCGACGTACTAGTGTCAAATGGACACAATCAACAAATCATACGATATGACGTGGTAAGACATTCCGTGTTTGTAATGACGTCATTCTCCAGTTTGTGGAGAAGACTTTTATGCCACGCAAGATAAAATGCATTTGAGAAATCACAGAATGTTACAATATTAAGCTCATATTTTCCCACAGTCATTATTGAATGGTGAACTTCAATAAGATAAACAGTAGAATGATTCGATAAAAACACTGTCTGATATTTATTAATAAATCCATTCTCAACAAAAGAAGTATGCACGTGCTTTTAAATCACGTGGTCAATAGCCCACAGTTTAAAAATAAAACCTGAGGAAGTACTTGCATCTCTATGTTTTAATACAGACATAACATGGGTAATTCTCTAACAATCATGATATATACAAAAATGATTAAATATGATTGATAATAAGACGGGAATTTGAAAGTAATTAAAGGATTTTGTAATTAACACCGTCTTTTTTAAAGCCTCTCTCCGTGTTTAATATCAATTCCAATCCTCCAGGGTTTGTCACCTTATCGCACTAACATTTCATTGGGTGGGAAACATTTCTTGACAGCCTCACAGAATTTATCATTAAAGTATTTACACACTTCACTAATATATCTTAGGTTATGGAGACCATTATTCCAAGGAACACTGCTAATCATTATGTCTTTGAGTTGATGAATGTACACCTGTCTCCTATAAGATCGTTTGTCTTTAACGGGATATTTACAAAACATCCAGTAGCAAAAACATCAAAGTCACTGATAGTACATTTCATTTCGTTCGCATACACTTACTTTTTTAATGACAGTTTACAAACGTCTACAGATGGTGTGCTTTGTATAAAACTACGACGTTCACGAAAACGTTAGTCTTCACACACAACAAGGGCACTATCCGAAATCTGAAATATGTTCCACAAAAGGCTTTGTTTCACATCTTTGAAATTTCATCGTCGTCTGATATATTGAACAATTTGTATTTCTAAGATATATACAAGAAAAACACTAAACAAAAAAGAAAATTGAACAAGAGAAACACTACAAGGAATATACGATCAAACGTTTCCGTTATTTGTCTCCAATTTATAGCCGAATCTTCGGAGGCTGACCTCATACCCGTGTCCACGTCGTTGATACTGGTAGCCATTTTGGATTCTGATTTTTCCGTGTGCCCGTATTGTGACTTTCTGTCCGAGTCGGACATTTCGGAGATGGTTTCCTTGTCTTCAGGTCTCGGGTACGCTGGATTTATTTTTCGTGATGGTGTACATTGTCGAATAAAAAGATGCATTTGAACCAACCATTCCGGTACGGCGTCGGTATCATCCTTGTGGTACATAGCATGAAGCAGGATGGTTGTTATTGTGATAAGTGTGCTGTTCAACAGTGTTATTACCAAGAATAGAGAGAGCAACGACATTGGGTCCGACCCCTGAGGCATGTAATCGCTGACCATAGACTCAAATACCGCGAATGACAACAATACGGTTATAGCGAAGGATACCCGTTCGCCAGATTCTATAGGGAGAGCGAACACACATGGGTTGAGTAGAGCAAGTAATGCTATTGGGATTATCACGGACACGACAAAGTACAACGACTTTCTCTCAATTTCTAGCGTAAAGTTAGCAAATACTACACTGTCTTCTATCTTGTCCTTCGTCATGGGTAGGGAATTGACCTTGACCGACGACGATTTTACTTTCCATTGACCATTGTTAGAGAAGTGATCAAACGAAATCGTATCCCTTATGGCAACTATGCTTATCTCTTCCGTCTGGTACCCAAAAGGCGACAGAACTACATGGCACTTTTGGAAATCGTACGGAAAATACGTCACATCCGCTACACATGCTGACTTGATGATTCCAATCCTCCACCAGTTCATAAGACCCGTGAAATCCACGCGCACCTTGAAATTGCCCTTTGTAGAGATATGCACTGTGTCGTCTGCTGCAGTGGTGAGAACCATTTCCGGCAACCACACGGATTCCTGAGGAAGGGTTAGTGATTTCAGACCGCCCAATAGTTCAGGATTCCACGTAAATCTTTCTTCTTTCCATATTGAATGGAATATCACAGTCAGAGTAATTGTACCTGACAGTTCATCCAAGTCGTTGATTGACATTATTCCCATTGAAACTCGGACCTCCACGGGTTTACTCTGGTTAAGAACTGGCCGGAGCTCCACGGTGTAGTTCCGAAACAACTGTTTGTACAGCTTTTGTGTTTCTGGAAGCATAACAGAAGTCACATTTCTTCCAGCAAGCCAAAATAAGTATACAAAACAAGTGAGCTTTCCGTGCATTGTTGAGTCGTTGAAAAAAACTTTAGCTTCAACAGCCAATGAAGAGCATCAATGGACCGTCCGACTGGAGGAGAACGAAATGTACAGTATGTCCTCTGGTAATCAGATAGCGATAAAACTTCCATCAATTGACTCCTCAACCTGCTGTTGGTCTCACATCATCAGCGTGACTCATTCAATCGCTGACTGTCTTTCCCAGATAGAAGACCTACAGCTTATGCTGCCCTCCCACATTTGCCTTCAGATGCAATATGTTGTTTTTCTGGACAGATATAATTCGAACTTTGCCTCAGGATGCTTTAATGTGTAAAACACAAGCGGCAATATATTACTTCTGTTTGCCAAAGAGACAGATTGTCAATACACAATATTCAGGAGAGCATTGACAAAGTTGACACCCGTTATCCAATCCCCATCTTTATCAATAAAATAACTATATCAATACATGACACTATGCCCTGATCATAGTCGGAAATACAGCAATTGTCTCCAAGTTAGCTTAGTGTATTGTTGACATAAGTGATTAAATTCTGTAGAAGTCATCATAAACGACAGGCTGTGTGAATCAATCTGCGAAAAAAGTTGGTTGCTGATGTTGTTTATGAGAAAAGTGTATGTGTACTACAAAAGTTAGTCAGTGGTCATATTAAATTAGCTTTCGAAAAAAACACGTCCGCGTTTATCATTTAATTAAATAAACAAGAATTCTAAACAGTCATCATTTATGGTTTTTCGATGAGCAAGTCAGTATTCGACACCCCACAGCGTCCATTTTTTTTTATAAATAAGTCAGTATTCAACACCCCACCGCGTCCGTGTTTTTTTATCAATAAATCAGTATTCGACACCCCACAGCGTTCGTGTTTTTTTTTATAAATAAGTCAGTATTCGACACCCCACAGCGTCCGTGTTTTTTTTTATAAATAAATCAGTATTCGACACCCCACAGCGTCCGCGTTTTTTTTTTATAAATAAGTCAGTATTAGACACCCCACAGCGTCCGCGTGTTTTTATAAATAAGTCAGTATTCAACACCCCACCGCGTCCGTGTTTTTTTTTATCAATAAATCAGTATTCGACACCCCACAGCGTTCGTGTTTTTTTTTATAAATAAGTCAGTATTAGACACCCCACAGCGTAAGTCAGTATTCGACACCCCACAGCGTCCGCGTTTTTTTTTATAAATAAGTCAGTATTCGACACCCCACAGCGTCCGCGTGTTTTTTTTTATAAATAAGTCAGTATTCGACACCCCACAGCGTCCGCGTGTTTTTTTTATAAATAAGTCAGTATTAGACACCCCACAGCGTCCGCGTTTTTTTTATAAATAAGTCAGTATTCGACACCCCACAGCGTCCGTGTTTTTTTTTTATAAATAAGTCAGTATTCGACACCCCACAGCGTCCATGTTTTTTTATAAATAAGTCAGTATTCGACACCCCACAGCGTCCATTTTTTTTATAAATAAGTCAGTATTAGACACCCCACAGCGTCCGCGTTTTTTTTAGAAATAAGTCAGTATTCGACACCCCACAGCGTCCGCGTTTTTTTTATAAATAAGTCAGTATTCGACACCCCACAGCGTCCGTGTGTTTTTTTTTATAAATAAGTCAGTATTCGACACCCCACAGCGTCCGCGTGTTTTTTTTATAAATAAGTCAGTATTCGACACCCCACAGCGTCCATGTTTTTTTTTATAAATAAGTCAGTATTCGACACCCCACAGCGTCCGCGTGTTTTTTTTTATAAATAAGTCAGTATTAGACACCCCACAGCGTCCGCGTGTTTTTATAAATAAGTCAGTATTCAACACCCCACCGCGTCCGTGGTTTTTTTTATAAATAAGTCAGTATTAGACACCCCACAGCGTCCGCGTTTTTTTTAGAAATAAGTCAGTATTCGACACCCCACAGCGTCCGCGTTTTTTTTTATAAATAAGTCAGTATTCGACACCCCACAGCGTCCGTGTTTTTTTATAAATAAGTCAATTCGACACCCCAAATAAATAAGTATTAGACACCCCACAGCGTCCGCGTTTTTTTTATAAATAAGTCAGTATTCGACACCCCACAGCGTCCGCGTGTTTTTTTTTTTATAAATAAGTCAGTATTCGACACCCCACAGCGTCCGCGTGTTTTTTTTTATAAATAAGTCAGTATTCGACACCCCACAGCGTCCGCGTGTTTTTTTTTATAAATAAGTCAGTATTCGACACCCCACAGCGTCCGCGTGTTTTTTTTATCAATAAGTCAGTATTAGACACCCCACAGCGTCCGCGTTTTTTTAGAAAAAAGTCAATATTCGACACCCCACAGCGTCCGCGTGTTTTTATAAATAAGTCAGTATTCAACACCCCACAGCGTCCGTGGTTTTTTTTATCAATAAATCAGTATTCGACACCACACAGCGTCCGCGTGTTTTTTTATAAATAAGTCAGTATTAGACACCCCACAGCGTCCGCGTTTTTTTAGAAAAAAGTCAGTATTAGACACCCCACAGCGTCCGCGTTTTTTTAGAAAAAAGTCAGTATTCGACACCCCACAGCGTCCGCGTTTTTTTTATAAATAAGTCAGTATTAGACACCCCACAGCGTCCGCGTGTTTTTTTTTATAAATAAGTCAGTATTCGACACCCCACAGCGTCCATGTTTTTTTATAAATAAGTCAGAATCAGACACACCACAGAGACCCTTTTTTTATAAATAAGTCAGTATAAATAAATAGTATTCGACACCCAACAGCGTCCATGTTTTTTTTATAAATAAGTCAGTATTCGACACCCCACAGTGTCCTCGTGTTTTTTTTTATAAATAAGTCAGTATTCGACACCCCACAGCGTCCGCGTTTTTTTTATAAATAAGTCAGTATTCGACACCCCACAGCGTCCGCATGTTTTTTTTTTTATAAATAAGTCAGTATTCGACACCCCACAGCGTCCGTGTTTTTTTTTATAAATAAATCAGTATTCGACACCCCACAGCGTTCGTGTTTTTTTATAAATAAGTCAGTATTCGACACCCCACAGCGTCCATGTTTTTTTATAAATAAGTCAGTATTCGACACCCCACAGCGTCCGCGTTTTTTTTTTATAAATAAGTCAGTATTCGACACCCCACATCGTCCATGTTTTTTTTATAAATAAGTCAGTATCCGACACCCCTCAGCGTCCGCGTTTTTTATAAATAAGTCAGTATTCAACACCCCACAGCGTCCGCGTTTTTTTTATAAATAAGTAAGTATTCAACACCCCACAGCGTCCGCGTGTTTTTTTTTATAAATAAGTCAGTATTAGACACCCCACAGCGTCCGCGTTTTTTTAGAAAAAAGTCAGTATTCGACACCCCACCGCGTCCGCGTTTTTTTTATAAATAAGTCAGTATTAGACACCCCACAGCGTCCGTATTCGACACCCCACAGCGTCCGCGTTTTTTCCGACACCCCACAGCGTTCGTGTTTTTTTTATAAATAAGTCAGTTTTCGACACCCCACAGCGTCCATGTTTTTTTATAAATAAGTCAGTATTCGACACCCCACAGCGTCCATGTTTTTTTTTATAAATAAGTCAGTATTCGACACCCCACAGCGTCCGCGTGTTTTTTTTTTTATAAATAAGTCAGTATTCGACACCCCACAGCGTCCGCGTGTTTTTTTTTTATAAATAAGTCAGTATTCGACACCCCACAGCGTCCGCGTTTTTTTTTATAAATAAGTCAGTATTCGACACCCCACAGCGTCCGCGTGTTTTTTTTATAAATAAGTCAGTATTCGACACCCCACCGCGTCCGTGTTTTTTTTATAAATAAGTCAGTATTAGACACCCCACAGCGTCCGCGTGTTTTTTTTTTAAAAATAAGTCAGTATTCGACACCCCACAGCGTCCGCGTTTTTTTTTTTATAAATAAGTCAGTATTCGACACCCCACAGCGTCCGCGTTTTTTTTTTATCAATAAGTCAGTATTAGACACCCCACAGCGTCCGCGTTTTTTTATAAATAAGTCAGTATTCGACACCCCACAGCGTCCGCATGTTTTTTTTTATAAATAAGTCAGTATTCGACACACCACAGCGTCAGCGTGTTTTTTTTATAAATAAGTCAGTATTCGACACCCCACCGCGTCCGTGTTTTTTTTTTTTATTCGACACCCCACAGCGTAAATAAGTCAGTATTATTCGACACCCCACAGCGTCCGTTTTTATTTTATTCGACACCCCACAGCGTCCGCGTTTTTTTTTTATAAATAAGTCAGTATTAGACACCCCACAGCGTCCGCGTTTTTTTTTTTTTTTTTATAAATAAGTCAGTATTCGACACCCCACAGCGTCCGCGTGTTTTTTTTATAAATAAGTCAGTATTCGACACCCCACAGCGTCCGCGTGTTTTTTTTATAAATAAGTCAGTATTCGACACCCCACAGCGTCCGCGTGTTTTTTTTTTTTTATAAATAAGTCAGTATTCGACACCCCACAGCGTCCGCGTGTTTTTTTTATAAATAAGTCAGTATTCGACACCCCACAGCGTCCGCGTTTTTTTTATAAATAAGTCAGTATTCAACACCCCACAGCGTTCGTGTTTTTTATAAATAAGACAGTATTCGACACCCAACAGCGTCCGTGTTTTTTTTTTTATAAATAAGTCAGTATTCAACACCCCACAGCGTCCGCGTTTTTTTTATAAATAAGTAAGTATTCAACACCCCACAGCGTCCATTTTTTTTATAAATAAGTCAGTATTAGACACCCCACAGCGTCCGCGTTTTTTTTTTATAAATAAGTCAGTATTAGACACCCCACAGCGTCCGCGTTTTTTTATAAATAAGTCAGTATTCGACA